CCTCAGACATACATTCATATAAACTCCTACCCCTAACTGAATCGCGATTTGTTTAGCATCTCAACCGATTTGAATCGTCACATATTTAAATCGATTTTCAACCGGCTCGTGGTTAATCGTTACATCCCTACTGATTGGCCATTGCATTCATAAGCTCAATAGAAACGTGTGATTGGTTTTCACGATAAACGCAGAGAAAACTGATGCAGGGTGAGCAGATCTAAATGTAATGCCGCTCTTTTTCACCCCGTTAATTCATTTTCACTTTTCATTTTAATCGTGACGTAATAGATTGTTTAATTTTTCAGGGGAATTTTTTGCCCCCTTATCTTACATTTGAGGGGCATTTTTGTTCATTTTATTGGCATTTGTAATTTGTGCTAATTGTTCTAAATCTTTTTAGCTTACTTTCACAAGAGTGCATTCTGAAAAAGCACACCATTTTCTAGAATGTCATTGTGTGAAGCAACATTTAAAAAGGACTTGAGTAGACAAACATTTAATTAAAATGCTAATGGTACCATACAACATACTTTTGGCCATATAGAGTAACTGTGGTCAGTTGCATGTTAATGAACTCCTGTTTGGTTGTTAGGGCTGGTCTGCAGTTATGTTGAGCTATGATCTTATAACCTGAGCACTCTGATCTGTCTTTGGCAGACTCCATCCATGAAGCGCTTCAGCGCTAATGGGTCTGTGGAGACTCATGAACGACGTCCAAATCAATTAAGGCAACTCAACAGAGCCGGCAAGCTTAGGTATTACAATTGTATTGTGTGTGTGTGTGTTTTCGTTTGTGTGTAAATATGTGTATGTATTAGGGCTGCACAATTAACCATATTTGGTAACACTTTACTTGAAGGGGTGTGCATAAGACTGACATGACACCTTCATAATCATGACATGACACCTACATAATCATGACATGTGTCATGTCATGATTATGTAGGTGTCATGTCATGATTATGAAGGTGTCATGTCAGTCTTATGCACACCCCTTCAAGTAAAGTGTAACCCCATATTTAAATTTCTGCTTCTCTCAATTATTTAAGCATAATCATGTGCGATATATGCCCACTTGTTATTTTTACTGACAATAATTCATTTTCAATTGACATTTTGTTACAAGCTTCCTCTGGCTTTCATGCTTGCGGTTTCCAGATTTCAAGAGTTTACATCCCTCAACCAGTGCTTTTCTCTTAAAAATATTCATTTTCTGCCCAGCGTTTTACTTAAATTCCCAACCTGGCAACCATGCTCAACCAGTAATGAGCTGAAAACAACGGCAAACATATAAGTTAATTTGAGTGATCTGCTCAAATGAAATTGCAATATCTGTTTTCTTTCACACAGTCGTTTGCACTGTTTGCTATGACTAAATCTGCGAGCAAACCCCAGTGATGAACTGAATAAATACGAACGTGATTCTCTTCTGTTATATTGTTTGCGCTTGTGGTTTCTTAATATAGCACTATACAATTAATCTTTGTTGTTGTTTTAATTGAAAAAAAAACATTCACATAATTAGTGGTCGACCGATATGGGTTTTTTGACAGCCGATACCGATGCCGATATCTTGGAAAGCAGGATGGCCGATATAAAGCCGATATAATTTTATATATCTTTATAGTTATCTTTATAGTTATCGTTCTTGGTGTGAACGGGGCTTAAGTCTGCAAGGTTTGCGAAATTAAATGTTCGTTAGTCATTCAAAGATTTGTTTAAATTATATAAATGCGTATTGCGGAATGCTGACGGCAAACGAGAAAGTATTATAATGTTTGCATTTAATAATATTAAAGCAATCGTTATAATACTTTTTTGTATACATTTTAATTCCTTTGTTTAACAGTTCTATCTGATTATTAGATAGACTTCTATCCGTATTAGACAGAACTGAATGACAACAGCGGACAAGAGGGAGAATGTGAGCACTGTGTGTCCGACGCGCCGTCAAAATAAAAGTCTCGAACACATCGGCCAAACAGAAAAACTGATCGGCCGATGCCGATATTTGAAAAATGGCAGATATCGGCCGATATATCGGCCTTGGCGATATATCGATCGACCACTACACATAATTTGGAGTTGCTGGAGGAATTATTATTAATATTAGGAAGTTCACTGGTTTAGCTATTCATAGAAGCTTCTTATACCAGTTCCCATAATGTAAAGAGTGTATTAATTTATATAATAAACATAATACATCAGGAAACTAGATGAGGTAAAATAAATCATGCAAGTTGTTGTTCTCTTGATTTGAAAGTGCAATAATTCTGATGAAATGTAAAAGTAAATTTCTAATCGTGATTAATAATTGTGATTGCAGTTCGAGCAAAATAATTGTGTTTGTCATTCAGCATAATAATTCAATTTCAATTACAAGACCTTTTTTTTTTTTTTATCTACATTTTTTTTTTCTAAATGCCTTTCTAAATTGTCTAAATGCCTGTATGTAGATGGAATGTATATGCTCACTGTGCACTGTGTTGTTGTTGATGGTCTCCCAGTGAATCAGTGAACCCCAATCGAACCAGCTATCTGATAATGAGTCCAGCGCCGTCCCAAGGAGTTCTGGTTCAGGGGCGGCTCTTCCAGCACGCACAGTTCTCTGCTCCAGTCAGAAAGCTGGAGCAAAGGTATGGCACTGGATGAGCTGACTTAGCCAAATAAAAAGTGGCCTATTTAACTTCAGATGTTTGATGACAAGTAAATCGAGTAGAAACATGAGCATTGGGAGTAATACTGTCTTGAACTTTAGCTTTAGCTGTGTTTATGTCTATAGTTTGGGTCAAATAAGCTACATTCACATTCTTGGCTGCTCAAAAAAAAAACAACTTTGAAATCAGACACACTCGACCTTCCTTTTACTAAAACTTCACCACTTCTATTCTGAAATGCATTGTGTGGCTTATTGTATGCCACATACAGTATTGCCCACATTGTCTGTTGGTGTGATGAAATGTTTTACCAAGTTAAGCTCTATCTACAGCATTTATGGCATAAAGTGATCACTACAGAAAAAAAAAATTCTCTCCAAAATGATTACAAATAATGTTGATAGAGCCTAATTTGCATTGAACCCGGAACATTAGCTGTGACATTTCTTGAGCGGATCTGATGCATTTCATAATTCTTATGCTGTCTGCCACCGTGTCTCTCCTGCAGATCCGATATGATCCAAAGAGTCGAGCTGGACAGCATTCTTCTCACCTGTCCTAAGAGTCCAGGTAAGCAGATGGAGCAGAACCAATGGGTTTTCTCATTTTCAGAATTTACAGAAAGCAAAAATATCTAACGGATAAACTCATATATTCCTATGGCATTGAAGAAAAGAGCACATCAAAATTCAGAACACTGTCTGGTTACTGGAGTTACTTTATGAGCAATCAAGTTGAAGTGTTAATTTAGGTCATTTTAAGTTAAGTCAATAGTGATTAATCTGAGATGCTTTGAGACTTTTGGAGATCTTGATCAAGTGAACAGGAGTTGATGTACATGGCTGTTGTTCTGCTGTACGTCACTAGATTCAGACATCAGTGTTAAGAGACGTGTCCATCAGAAACGGCGGGCGATGAACGATAGTCCTGCTCCTGTGGGCAAACCAGTTGAGGTGAGACCATACCCTATACTTCTGTATTACCCCAGTCTAAATGCAGAGACAGTGAATGTGCAAAAGTCAAATGAGGGTCTTAAAAAGGTCTTAAAGTCTTAATTTGCCCTTTAACACATTAAGGCCTTAAAAAGGTCTTAAATCAGATCAGAAAGTCTTAAATTAATGGCATACATGGCATTAAATGTTGCACGCATTGCAAATCTTCCTCAGTATTTTTGTCTTGCTTTTTAAAACAAATACCCAATTGTCCTTAAAGGGGACATCGGATGCCCATTTTCCACAAGTTGGTATGATTCTTTAGGGTCTTCATGAAATGTCTGTAACATACTTTGGTTAAAATTCCTTAATGGTCGTTTAAAACAACACCCTTTTTACCTTGTCAAAAACAGCTTTGTTCACAGCGAGCCGTTTCGATGCATGTCTCTTTAAATGATAATGAGCTA